TATTCTTGATCAGGGTCACTAGCCGAGTCGATATAGCCATGTCCGTCTGTCCGTCTGTCTGTCCGTCTGTCCGTCTGTCCGTCTGTCCGTCCGTATGAACGCTGAGATCTCGGAAACTATAAAAGCCAGAAGATTGGCATTTTGCATGCAGATTCTAGGAGTTCCTACGCAGCGCAAGTTTGTTTCAAAAAGGTGCCACGCCCCCTTTAACCCACAATCGCTTATATACGATTTAAAAAATTTAAATATTTCGGAAAAGTAAAAATGCAGTTTTATTGTGCTTATCAATACCTATCGAAATGTAGAAGAAATTTTTCAAATCGGACCATTCGTTAAAAAGTTATGCGTGATCAAAGTTTCTATCTCCATCTCCCTCGCACTCCCTTTACCTGAGTAACGGGTATCTGATAGTCGGGGCACCCGACTATAGCGTTCTCTCTTGTTATACCCTTGCAGAGGGTATTATAATTTTGGTCAAAAGTGTGCAACGCAGTGAAGGAGACGTCTCCGACCCTATAAAGTATATATATTCTTGATCAGGATCACCTCCTGAGTTGATATAGCCATGTCCGTCTGTCCGTCTGTCTGTCCGTCTGTCTGTTTCTACGCAAACTAGTCTCTCAGTTTTAAAGCTATCGAATTGAAACTTTGCACACACCCTTCTTTCCTTTGCACGCAGTATATAAGTCGGAACGGCCGGGATCGGCCGACTATATCCTATAGCTGCCATATAACTGATTGATCGGAAATGCCATAACTTTCGTGTTTGTGAAGTTAGGAAGTTGAGATTTTCTATGGGTTTTATATTTGGCCAATCAATCCGACCTACCAAATTTCATAAGGATCGGCCGACTATATCCTATAGCTGCCATATAACTGATTGATCGGAAATGCCATAACTTTCGTGTTTGTAAAGTTAGGAAGTTGGGATTTTCTATGGGTTTTATATTTGGCCAATCAATCCGACCTACCAAATTTCATAAGGATCGGCCGACTATATCCTATAGCTGCCATATAACTGATTGATCGGAAATGCCATAACTTTCGTGTTTGTAAAGTTAGGAAGTTGGGATTTTTTATGAGTATTAAGAATGCATTATATGAATAATTTTGGAGAATATAATTTACAGAGTATTCTGCAAGGGTATATCAACTTCGGCTCCGCCCGAAGTTAGCTTTCCTTTCTTGTTTTACTTTAATTTTATTTATACTATTTAACTTAAATAAATGTGTCGACTATATCAGCTACATTTTTATCAATATGTTCTAAGCATATAAGAAATAAGAAACAAAGAAATAAGCTAATTAATAGCCTTTTTGATAACAGCATAACTCTAATATGATATCCAAATTTGAGACGAAAGTTCAAAAGTTGAAAATTCTTTATGTTTTCGCCTTTAAGCATGGCAAAAAAATATATATTTAAAAAAGTAATTGCTTAAAAAAAATCGTTTTTTGTTACAAAACATGATTTTAAAATGTTTATTCCGCCCCACTGGAGCTCCAATTTTGATATTTTATTTTCGATCGGTATATAACTTTTTATAACTGTGCGACTTGAAAAGAGGTCTCATTCCGCAAACTCTTTCATCTTTTTGTTACGGGTAGCGCGATAGTGCTCATTTCTAAATTGGATACCTCTTGGATTTTATACTTTCTTCTACGCACTTACAAGATGCACTCTCTGAAAACTTACCTGCGTCGTCCAATAGAATATTGTCGGGCTTGATGTCCCTGTGGACCACTCGGTGCGTTTGCAGGTACTCCAATGCACTGCCAAGCTCGCACACTAATAAGGCCACACTCTGCTCGGAAAATTCCACCTGGAGGGAATGGGGAGTACGGAAATGAAGGAAAGACGGGTAGGTGCAGGGAGTTGTCATGGGCGAACTTACCCTGTTCTGTAAATGATATCTTAAGTCGCCGCCAGTCAACAGGTCGCAGACCATGAATAAGTCCTCCTCATCTGTGCAAGGCAGGAGAAACAGAGGTATATGAGTGCTATGTGGGCAAAGCTTCAAAAGAAAAGCTCTGAGTTAATTTGCATTTTGATTGGCAATCAGCAACAGCTTCAGACGATAGGAAAATCAAGAGAGAGAACGAGCGATGGAAAAGCTACAGGAGCCGCTAAGCTGGTAAAGGTAGCACAGCCAACAATATTTTGATATGCTTATACAGGTATTTATGTATTTGTGCATATGGGTATTTTCACCAAAAGTCGCTAAAGCTACATTTGCATATGAATATAATATTGCCATAAATTGTTGTTTAATACTTTTTAATTTACGCAATTGAATCAGTTATTTAGTCTTAGTAGAAAAACTATAAGCTATCTAACGATAACTCGAACGAACAACCTATCTGATAAGTCGAGGGAACTGTATTATAATATTCTTCTGCAAAGGATAGTAACCTAAGAAGGCTCGAAAGATTCTAATTGATAATTACGGCATAAAAAACTCAGATTGCTTCGGCATTACTGCTTTTCGTACTACGGAAATACCCATATTCGATGGCTTACATATGTAGGTGAAGTGTGTTGGCGGACACTTACCCTGGAACGAAAACCATAAATTGACTAGAAACGGATGCTCCAGCGAGGATAGCAGTTCCACCTCCTTGATGACACCGCCCAGTGCTCCTCGCAGTTCGCAGGCCGAGCGACTCACATATTTCATGGCGTACAGGATCCCGCTATCCCGCTTTTGTACGATGCAAACCTGCAAAAAGCATCCTGTGAGGTCGAGGGTTTTCTTAGGAATATCTGAAGGCTGCTCCTACCTTTCCGAAACTGCCCTTGCCTATCGCGCGAAGTATTTGGAAGTGATCAAAATTGACTGTAAAGGGAGTAGAAGATATATGTAAGTGGCAATGGAAATTGACGTTTCAGCCCCAGATTATAAACATTTAAATATTTTATTTTGATTCCGTTGCCCACACACCCGATAACTGGCCACTAGGCGTCAAGACTCTGGCAGTGCAGCATGTAGCCCATTTCGGGTACTCCGTCTTGGTAAGAGGACTTTGGTAGAATTTGCCTCAACTGAAGTCTCTGGCGGGGGCACAGGAAGAACGGTGGCAGAACGTCCACTTGCAGCAGCCGCAGATTGGGAAACCTGTGCCCGACCAGCGCCTCAAAATGATCCCGGCCCAGGTAGCTGATCCTCAGCTCGTGCAGCCGCTGGAAGGTGCTCGCCAACAGGAATTCGAAGTCGTCCCGGTGCAGAGGCACCTCAAGCAGGTTCAGCGAAATCTTGCTAAGCCGATGGCGCCATATGCCACCCAGGAGGGGGCGGCAGCGTCCGTAGCTCTGCAGCATGGAAATCTGGTCGGGCAGCTCTAGAAATTCCAATATTCGCCACAGGCACAGGTCGTCCATCAACCCGAAATCCATTGCCGTCGGTTTGCCTCGGGTGTGTGTGCTATGAAAATTGTACAGGAGAACCGCCCAGGGCACGACTACTGCGTTGTTTTTCGATCGTTCTATGTGATACTTACTGGCGAAAACGATTTGAGACCATATTTAAAAGGAAAATATTTTAAAATAAGTGTAAAATAAATTTTAAATAGATAGAAAATCGTGTTGACTTTCTACATTTTCAAAATAAAATAAAATTCGCAATAAACACTTGTAAACCGGTGAAATTTTGTAACATGCTTCTTAAATATAATTAAAAATGTTGTTAAAATTTATTTGTTATCATAAGTTTAAAACTTAATTTTCTTAGATAAGTTTTATGACTTAGTAATGACAGCATTGGGAAGCAATTCAAATTTTATTAGACGGCCCATGTTTAAAGTCCTATTTTATTTCATTTTGTATGTGACACGTTCGTTAAATGTAAAAACTGCCTTCTTGTTTTCCGCTAACCAAGATAAAAATAATTGTATCCTTTCCAACAAAATTGTTTTTATAAAATTACATCCAACTTGGAAAAACAAAAATTTAATTCAATGTTTTTTTAAAACTATTTAGATCAATGGGCCCTCAGGTGTTAATTAGCCTGACGATTTTCTTGAAACCCATTTTTTCATTCAAGCTGACACTTTCTATAGCTTAAATACAATTGTTTGTACTAAGCAAACGTGTTTCTACAATATTCTAATTCGTTTTTGCAGAACATGTAGTTTGAAATAATATAAACCAAATTAAAATAGTCCTTGCTGTCAGTATCTGACACAAACGTAACTCCTTAATGCACAGCGGGCCTCAAAATAATAAAATCAAATATTGCTTAAAATTGTCTATTGATTGCGTTCCCACCTTTTTGAGCACATATTGGCACAATCAACGCAATGTACGCCAACTATTTTCTTACCGTCGTCATCGCCGAGCAGACTTGCGTCGGATCTGCTCGAACTGTTGGCGCCCATGGTGCTACATAAATGGGTTGAACTTGAGTCGTTTTGCGGATCCAGCCTCCTTACTCTCCCTGGTGTCCAAATGGAACAAAATTTGATTTTGACTTTGAAGGCCTTGGGCGCTTTTGATGTTTGCTCGTTTTCACACGGCGAGGTGCAGGTAATTGACTAGATGAGAGAAAAGTAGGCAAAAGGGTAACTAGAGTTAGGGTTTAAGTAACAGGACTACGCCTTTAGCACCTCTTTGTGTTTAGAAGTTCCTTTTTTTAAAATCTTAAAAATGGTCTAAATCTGAGTTTTAAAATATTTCTCATTTCATTGCAATTTTTATTACAAAATAATATTTGTCTTTTGTTTTTATTTTCAAAGTGTTTTTTTGGGGCAAAAAATTAAATAATATATTTCAAAAAAATGATTACAAATGTTTTTTTTTTACATTCTTACATACTGCCTTTAAGGGGCATTTATTATAGCACCCGTGATCTCGACGTTCATTGGACATCGACCCACTTCACCAATACTCTTTCCCCAATACCCTTTCACCAATACCCTTCACCAATACCATTTCACCAATACAGATCACTTTCTGCCGAATCTAGGTGCTCTACTGAATGTCACCCGGAGCGTTTGGGATTCGGGCGGACTAACGACATATACATACATAGCTCTCATCGATCACTTTTATTTTATAACTTTTCGCTCCATATTATAGAAAATACACCCGGATCTGGTCTTTTTATAGACTGCACAAAGCTAAGGCATGAACTGCGAAGGGTCCATAGTTATCCGCGCAAAGGGTTGCGGTCGCGAGGCCACCGTGTCGCTGCGCCAAAAGGAACTGATCCGGAACCTGCGTGCCCTGGTGGCCGTGCGCTTCGAGCAGGCTATAGCCCGCATCGTCCTGGTCTTTGCCGGCCAGGTGTTGCGTGACGTCGGCACCATCGACAGCAAGGGCATCGTCTCCGGGGTCACGGTTCACGTGGTTTGCCGAGCGGAAGTGCCCGACCGTACATCTCCGACGTCGAGCCCGGTCACCATCAATATCACAAAGACTCCGGCGGTGCGCGAGGGCCTTATGAGGTCGTTGTATTCGGCCAACATGGCCTACTTCGGGCTCAATGAGCCCGGTGTGCTGCGGAACCTGCTGCAGGCTGATCCGCGGATCCGGAGCCTGATCGAGGAGAACGCGACGATGCGCCACTATCTGAACAGCGACCAGAACCTGCGCGAGATGCTCTCGATGGCCTTCAGTCCGGCCAAGAAGGAGTTGGGACGCCGCCGCGACCTCTACATATCGCGCTTGGAGTTCGTTCCCGGAGGGTACAGGATGCTGGGCCGCCTAAACTATTTCATGCTCCAGGCCTACGAGGACAACGTGGCCATGTCTTTTCAGCAGGCATCGCAGGGCGCCAAAGGGGGCTCGAACCCCCAGCGAGGTCGCGAAAACAAGGATCCACTCCCAAACCCCTGGCGACGCTCCCCCGCACCCCCCGCACGCCTGGCGAGCTAAGGGGAATGGGCATCTTCGCTGGACGGATCCCCGTGAACCAAAGTGGCAGTGGCAGTAGCAGTGACAGTGACAGTGGCCTCGATGGCAGCCAGGAAAAGTCCCAAAAGCGGCCGACCACTTCTGCACCACAGATCAAGCGAGCTGACTCTCCTCGCCGCGAAGAAGGTCGCTGGGATTGGTGCTACAAGGTCCAGTTGGAGCAGCTGGTCCAGATGGGTTACCAGAACCGGAATCGCAACATTCGCGCCCTTCTGATCTCCCTGGGCAACGTTGACAGCGCTGCCCGACTACTGGACCACTGGGATCGGTCTGTGGAGAAATGAACTTTGTTTTGCGGTGCTTTCGTTATGTTTTGTTTTTGGGGAAATGTCTGAGAATTTGTACACCGATTAAAAACTGCAAAATATAGAACTTAAATACTTATGTAGAATCATACACAGAAAAATCGTGGATCCGAAGTTGATTTCTCAATGTAAGACCGATCTTCTGTACAAAAGTTTAGTGTCCGGAAATGTGTCAAATGCACTATCACTACTTTATGGAATAATGTAATTAAGTGGGTCTTCTAGTCTAGAGGCTCGAATTTCGACCTTTTTTAACAATTAATAAAAAAAAGCAATAGATATTTTTTTATCCGTTTTTTTATCATTTGTTTATTAAACTTAAAGGAGTACATATAATAAATTTAAAAAATAAAATTAGTTTTCATTAAGTTATTCCATCTTGAAGAAGAGGGGGATGCCATGATTTCTATGCTTGTCGTTGTCTCAAAAATAAAACAATGATAGATTCTTAATGAGTACGAATGTCGCTATGGCATGAAGCACCAAAAAAAATAATTTTTTTTTTCATGAAATGGCGGCAACTTAAAGAAAAAAGTCGATTTTTTCAATAATTTTTGCATTTTGTCAAATTTTTAAAAATAATATAAATTTAAAATTTTTATTTTTTGTTGGTTTTGGCGATAGAGATATATTTAAAGAATATTCATGCCAAATTTCAGGTAAATCGACTGATTAGAACTTGAGATATAGTGGCGACCGCATCAAAAAAAGTAGTTTCGAGAAAAACGCGTTTAAAGTTCAATTGTTCGCTCAACCGGTCTAGTTGCCACGTCACTAAAACGGCTTTAACTTTGAAAATAATTTGAGTTTTGAAAAATCCTTTTAGGGAGATATTTGTGAATATAAAAACTATCGAATTATGAAAAAAAATTTTCGATTTTCTTAAATTTCTAGACTAGAAGACCCCCTTAAGTCTATTGTCTCCGAAATTATTATTCATTTAAAATATTTTTTTGTTTTATGAGTATAGCATGTATAAAAAGATTATGATGAGTCTTATGTTTAGCTTTTACACACATATGTATTACATAAGAGCGACAGGATATGGTCATGCAATGTGTTGTATTACTTAAAACTTTATCATGCTTTGACCCCATCGATCCTAGCAACTACAAGATATAAATATAAATAGATTAAAATAATACTATTGTTTTTGGAAACCTATTTTAAAAACTGAACTTAAAATATTGTTTAAGATCTTTAAAATATCAATAGATTCGCGTTTTATTTTTAACAGATTGAGCTCTTTAAGTCATTTGTTGAAAAAATATTAATTTAATAAATTTACCAAAGCTCTTGGATAGCGGAATTGAAGCTACGAGTCACATTGCCAATAATAGAAATGTTTCTCCAGCAGGAGAATAGTTGCGTTTTGATTGATTTAGCTAGCACTTGAGTTGACAATGGTGAGTTTATGTTATATTTTTGTCGGTAATCTTATTCATGCATTGAAATAATTATGTTGTGATAAGGGGGGTATGGTATTTACATTTTTTTTTGACAATTTTTTATTTTTGAATGCACAACATTTGAAGAATATTGCGTTAAAGTTTTAGAATGATCCGGGTAAAACATCCGAAGTTATAGGTAGTTGCACGTAGGTGAGTTAGTTCGTTTTTTATTCGATTTTTGGGTGTCTAAAAACTTTAAAACGCTCTCCTGAAAAATTGCCATTTCAAAGTCGGTGAACACGATCCTGAACTCAACGTAGTTACCTTTAGAAACATCTTAACTAATAAAATAAATGTTTTCTTATTTTTTCTGATGAACCAGTAACGTGTTATGCTGTTCACCGCCTACGGAGCTTGGCTGCGAACGGTTCATTTTTTTTTTTTTTTCGATGAAAATTTGTAAAAACATAGCTTAAATGGTGTACTTTGATTAATCTGACATTAACCGTATCGTGTGACAAAATTCATGAAAATAGGGCTTTTTTGGCCGAATTAACCATACTCACCCCTTTAATACCATCTTTCATTAGACATACAATGTCATAGCTAGGTGGTACATAATTTTATTGCTTAGAGCATACTTTATTTGTAAAAGTACACATTTATTTTACATTACTTAAAGTCTCTTGTATAAAAATTCAATAATGGAATAGGTATTTGAATATAATTTCAGCTGAGTAGCAAAAGTTATATTTTTTCGACAAATATAGCATACAAATTAAGCTGCCACGCCCATCCACTGATTTCATTGTTGTTACAGGAAAGGTGGAGTTTTGCCTTTTACCCATTTGGACTCATCATGAATGATGTATTTTTTGGACTAAAGGACGCACTGATTGATGGCGAACACAGGGATACCATTCAGCTTTCCCTTCTTAAATTCGATGGTCGACCTTATTTTTCTAAACAAAAAAGTGACAGTGCATTTTAAAAGCTCATGCAAACCTTTCATTTAAACTTTTACAAGATTAATATGATTTTGCCTTGGGCTTAGCTTGTGTAAATGCTTTAAATCTATAACGTATGCTTCCAGGAACCAATTAATTCTAATGTACCACTTTTTCACACAAAACAATTTTTATTGATTGAAACCAGTAATTCCCATGTTCTAGAGCGCCATCCCATTAGCTAAAAAACAATTTCACCCTTCTTGGAATGAACGAGGCGATTACATTAATAAACAGTTCTAATTTTACTGTAATAGCAGTAGTTTCAGAGTTTTTGTGTTTCGAATATTTGCTAATTGTAATCATTGGTAAATTATTGGTTTTTAAACAATTTTTTTCCTTTTGAGTAGTTTTTGAATTTACTGTCATTACGTAATATAAAACATAACAAGAAAGGAAAGCTAACTTCGGGCGGAGCCGAAGTTGATATACCCTTGCAGAATACTCTGTAAATTATATTCTCCAAAATTATTCATATAATGCATTCTTAATACTCATAAAAAATCCCAACTTCCTAACTTTACAAACACGAAAGTTATGGCATTTCCGATCAATCAGTTATATGGCAGCTATAGGATATAGTCGGCCGATCCTTATGAAATTTGGTAGGCCGGATTGATTGGCCAAATATAAAACCCATAGAAAATCCCAACTTCCTAACTTTACAAACACGAAAGTTATGGCATTTCCGATCAATCAGTTATATGGCAGCTATAGGATATAGTCGGCCGATCCTTATGAAATTTGGTAGGTCGGATTGATTGGCCAAATATAAAACCCATAGAAAATCTCAACTTCCTAACTTTACAAACACGAAAGTTATGGCATTTCCGATCAATCAGTTATATGGCAGCTATAGGATATAGTCGGCCGATCCCGGCCGTTCCGACTTATATACTGCGTGCAAAGGAAAGAAGGGTGTGTGCAAAGTTTCAATTCGATAGCTTTAAAACTGAGAGACTAGTTTGCGTAGAAACAGACAGACGGACAGACGGACAGACGGACAGACAGACGGACAGACGGACAGACGGACAGACGGACAGACGGACATGGCTATATCAACTCAGGAGGTGATCCTGATCAAGAATATATATACTTTATAGGGTCGGAGACGTCTCCTTCACTGCGTTGCACACTTTTGACCAAAATTATAATACCCTCTGCAAGGGTATAAAAATGTACTGTTAATTACAGTCACTTTTCGGTAAATTTAACCAACCAATTACATCTTTTAAACTGTAGAGTTAATTAATTTTAGAGTTTATAAATATTTGAATTCTTAAACTAGTCATAGGTCTTAATTTTATCATACCTATTACATAAATAAGCGGTTCATTACTTTAAGATTATGAACCGTTATATTTGTCCCCGCTATTGAAAAAGTATTTTTTTTTAGAAGAAAATTGTTGATACGTTTGAACGACACATACTCCAACTGCTTGTTTGTGTTCACACAAAGATTTTAGTTATTATTGTGTAATTATTGTTGGTTCGCATATCATATAGAAGGATCTTCGATCAAGTTTTTAAAATTGTTATTCGAGAGTCGTTGACAATTTCTTTTCCGATTTTTGCAAAAATGCCTTCAAACTTATCGTCACCATAACCGTCAGTAGACCCATCACTATCAATGATCAAAATGCATGATAAACCACTTCGTAGTTCAAAGCTGATTGTCAGAAACATTTTACCATGCTACTACTATGAGCAACTCCTCTTTCTTTTTTTAGGCGAGTTTTGCATTTTTTTTGCGACTCTTTTGTTTTTGACATTATTTAACCATAATGGTAATTCATTTGGGGTCCCGACCATTAATGTGCGCACTTTACAGGACACTAATCTTTATCTTCGCGGATTGACAACGGAAGGTGAAGAGGCGAAACAACCGCTAAGCCTTATAATGATCCTGTGCCTCGTAAACGTCCGAGTTTTATAGCATTTTCTGTTTACGGTTTCAGAGTTCAAACAGTAAATATTATTAAGGTTATAAGTGCGGTGGCGTTTTGATGTGTTTCTTTTTATGTGTTAAGAATTTTATGGGCCATCATTTGTTTTTAACTTGGCATACATAAAAATACCGACGTTTGAATCTATTCACTTAAATTTTTCTTATTATTTGGATAAAACTTAATAGTTTATAAAACTCAATCCCAAAATTACTACAGAAAAAAGTGTAATGCCTGCCTATTATAGTATTTATCTCACGGTTATCGGTCTTTAAGGACTCGTTTTAATAGTTGTAAAATGAGGAATAAGTTAACAACACACTAATCTCGACAATACTGTAATCTTATGTTAGCGAACCAATCCCTATAACGTGTATGGTAAAGTTCAAGAAACTTGTTGTGTTTGGCGAAATATTATAAGGACCAAACCGAAAAGAAGCTTCCTTTACAAATATACAAGCTTCTTACACTGACAAAAAGATTTTTGCGAGACATCGCTTAATGAATACTTCTTTTGCCCAACGATTTGATTCATAAGTTGGTCAGGCATAAAGTTGGTTGGGAAGTTGTTTGTTTTGAAATTGCTCATGCATTGCTGACATCGAATAAAAACACAATCGGATTTGCTTTTAAATTGAATTAATTGCCAGTCTGGCTGTGTAAAGTCTCGGTTCCCCCCCAATCAACTTGGAAAAGGACAAATGACATCATATTATTCTTTGGCGCAGAAGGAAA